CGAACATTTCACCCGAGAGTTCAAAAGTCTGGGGGATGATGTGTTGGATAAAGGCACACCTGTAACTGGGCCAATGCCAAAAGCGACAGAGCGCCTAGAACGGAACATTGAGTGGAATCTCAAATATACCACTCACATTGAGTTATATAAAGGAAAATAAGGTGTGACGCGATTCATCCGTTCTGGCAAGAAAACTCATAACAATTCATACGTACATATAAAAATCATCAAGAGGCGATGCTCGATTTTATATTCGAAATCATTTTGCATTATTGGGCTAGAAAATCTACCAAATTATTTCGCAATATCTTTAAAAATAGTCCAGAGCTGAGAGATCGAACATGTGGTTGACGAGAAAATCATTCAATCCGCCATATGTGGGGTCTCTGTACTTTCATTTCCATGAATTCTCCGGTTGTGAAAGACAGGCGAAGGGGGATCATCTATAAATAGGACAGGGCAGGGTTATCAGAACGTCACGCCTCACTGGGTCAACGGCTACAGAAGAGCCGACAAAAAAGATGAACGGCATTTTTAAATTTATGTTCCCGTAACGGAAATAAATGTTTTTGAATCTCTTGTGCAAACACGAAAACATAATTAATCGGCTTTCTGTCCGTATGAAATAATAATATTTTGGAAACGAAATATTTGGAATATGTGTATGTGAGTTGCAAATAATGTTTAACTTCAGGTTATGACACAAATTTAAAGATTTCACTATTAACAAAAACTTTAGTTTTTAAGCAAGGTAAGTTTAAACCTTATGGTATTGGTCTTGGAATAATTCAGTATTGGGACTCAAATATTTTAAAAATTTTAAATCAAATTTTTAATCGAGATCCTTTGTAAGATCAAGTTTATACGTAAACGAAATGTATTTTCCTAGTTCATTGTATTAAGAGGGCCCCGTATTTTTCCTCTATGTATAAAAATATTTTCAATAACCAACTTGATTGCTTCACGAGGGGATATTTCATTAAAAAGACATTTCACACATTAGTTTCGTAGAATGCAATTGGCAGAAGCATGTGGCTTGATAAAAATGCAATTAAAATCAATTAAGAAAGAGTAGCTGACTGAAAAAATGTTTTGTCCCCCAGGCGGAGTTGCACTCAAAGTCGGATTGCAGTAGAGTGGGAGTGAGAGGGAGACTGAGAGGAAGGGAGACAGTTGCACGTGACAGCTGTTGAAATATTGCAATGACAACTGGATGCAACAAAGGAGCGAGCGGGAGAGAAGGTGGAGAGAGCGTGGGCGAGAGCGGCAGGTAAGTTCACTCGCGAATTGTTGTTATTGCCCGCTCTCCCTTTTGCACTATCCCGCTGTTGTTGTTGTTGTTGTTGACATTGTTACATATTTATGTTGTTTTTGGCTTTGTTTAGCTCGTTTTGGAAGCACTTTCGATTTTCATTTTGACGGCTTGTTTGCGGTTTTTTTTTTGGTGATATTTCTGATCGATTGCGGCTGCCTTAATTAAATTCCCGCACACACACACACCCGCGGAAAGATTTCACACATACGAGAGGCAGCAGCAACAGAACAGAAATTATTTTCGCTCGGCAAAATCTTAAAAGCAACTGAACAAGACGCTCGACAACAAATTCCGTCGAAGCTGCGCGCACTCAACGCTCAACCGCCCAACACACTCACACTCCCACTCGCACTCAAAGCATAGCCTTTCCACTCACTCGAAATCCATTCCGAGTTCAACTCACGCGCTCAGTTGCAAAACATTTACAGTTGAAGCAACAAACAGCAGCCAGAAGCAGCAGCAGCAATGCACTGACAAAAAAATGTGGAGGTAAATCTTGAAATTAAGTACCTAACCTAGACTGCAGCAAATGTTCTAAAAATATTGTCATTAAATAACAAAAATGATTGTAATATCGATTTTTAATACCTACTTGACCTTTTATTTATTTAGATCTAAAAAAAAAAAATTTAAACAATTTTGGTAAATTTTCAAAAAGACCTCAATTCTACAATTGTTTCTTAAAATTTTTGTAATTCTAATCCAAGACAACTTTAAGGCCACAGCAGCTATAGCTACTATTAAACACCAAGGTTATACGTAATTTAAACAGTCCTTTTTAACCTGACAATAAATACATAAATCCAAGACAGCTAAAATTAAAAAAGTAACTGTAAGGTTGGTCAAACGATAAACACAAAATAAAATGTGTTTGTCCTTTAAAAACGAACCTTAAACAAATCCAAACTAACAAGTATTTTTACGATTTGTTCGTTGATTTTAAAAACCAAGAAATTAGAATACTTGTTTTTCACCATTAAATACAGGTTATTTTTTTTAATTATAAAAATTTCTTAAAAGTAACTGTAAGCTTGGTCACACAATAAATAAAAAAAATGTTTGTCCTTTAAAAACACGAACCTTAAACAAACCCAATGTTATAAGTATTTTTCCAAATCAATTGGTTTGTTGATTTTAAAAATCAAGAAATTATACTATTTGTTATTCACCATTAAATACAGGTGATTTTGTTTCTAAATTATAAAAATTTATTTTCGAGTGTAGGTGTTGAGTAATTATGACCATTTGTTGTTGCGTAGGCGATTGTCATTCATTTGGTAGCGCCACCTGGCGTCCGCCTTTTCCAATCGCCTTTAACTCAATTCCCGAGTGATGCCTTTTTTTTGGCTAAACGGATGAATCACTTGACTTTGAAAAGAAACCTAAATTTAGTAGAGTAACAACAACAGCAACATATAGTAACAAATTGTTATGGCTTTTGTTCAGAATTAAGTGTTTTGTTTTATTCTTCTGGTTTTGTGTCGGTTTGATGTCGATGCTTTTGACAATTGTTCTTTTGATTTGAGAGTGATAAAAGGTGAACAATTTGTCTGCTTCCACCATTGGAATCTTATAATAAACGAGATTATCTATTGGTAAATAGAATAATAAACAGATGGCCCCGACCTGTGCCAACTCAAAGTCGTAAGAACGGGTTCTGCTTTATCGATAAGCTCTCAACAACGTTGTATTTACATTTGTTATTGGTCCAACCCAACTTCCTCAGTATCTGTAAAAACCTCTTTTTGAGATCAACCGCCAATGTAATCAATCAATCGGATTTCAGATGCCCTGAGGTGATCACCTCGGCAATTAGAATATCTTGCGTAATGCCAACCTAAACAGGTGTATGCCGTCACTATGAACACTACCGGACGAAACTGTAATTCTATGTACCATGGGTGTACATCAATTTTTTAAAGACTTTGCTTTATAACACTGTGTTACAGCAAAAATGTACCTCGAAGAAAAAAAATAATTATTCTTACTCTGAAGTCCATTTTGTCAGAATTCTTGAAATTTTTGCATTCATCGAGGTAACGCAGTGTAACTATAATTACGAAACGCACTTTATCCCCACGGATTATGCTTGGATATACCCCTGTATTTCTGGCCAAAGTGTCGTGCCTGGTAATAAATAGAACACGAGTCGGTTGGAAACCACTGACGCCCACCAACGATACTTCGATCGGCGGCTGGCTCAATGGGAACAATGATCTAATGATCTAATGAATGAAACGCGTAGTAAGGTCAGCGACTACCAGTCTACAGATTGTAAAGTGAATCCCACACCGCAACACTCGACAGACTGGAGCTTACCGATTTTCATGTCAATCGACTGACTGTTTGCTTTCAGCTCACTTATTAAACAAAATCCGATGAAGACCGCACAACGTCGAAATGCAAACTGAATGGGGAATATTCAAATCGGGCGCTGACAACTGGAGAACGCGAAGCGAGTGCAATCGAAGGTGTTAGTCTGTGAGCAATTAACATTACTCCGACCAGATGTAAACAAATATGCTAAGCAACTACACTTCAAAAATAGAAAATATTTACCTACTAATTATTGCGATATTAAAATGATTATATTAATCTGTTGTTTTGGATAAATATTTTTAATATAAGTTTATGAATATTACACAGAGAAAATTATCAAAAGTTTTAGGTGCAAAATAAGGGGTGAAACATTTTAAAAAGTAAAACGCTTCATACAAATTTGTTTAACTTTGCATTTTTAAAACTTTTCATTTTTATTTTTAAAACGTTTTTGTATGAAAACGGTACCTAAAACGTTGTATAATTTTCTCTGTGTATTATCAGAATAAAAATGTATGTTTTTAACCATTTCTTGCTAGTTTACTAAGAATAAATTGGGTTTTTTATTATATTAATTTGTCATTTTTGATAAATATTTTATTAAGCCTATAAAAATTATTCTCAGAAGAAATATATATGAATATAACAATTTCGTGCTGGTTGACCAAGAATAAATAAGGTTTTTCAAAGTGTATGGCTAAATAAGCAACAGGGCAAGCCCCTCGAAAGCGGACAAAGCTGGCAGGAAAATGCTAAATTTGTTAACTTTACATGCTATGCATTTGTATACACTGTACATTTGATTACGTCATCTGCTGGGTGTTTGTGGTGCAATTGTTTACATTCACTTTAATAATGATTTCCGATGATGCCTCAAGATTTGAAATAGCTGCTGCTACTTGTTGTCCAATGTAAAATTTTCGGCGTTTTTATTTTTTACGCCGCCGAACAGACAGCTTTATTTTCTGTTTTTCAAACTCTTCCTAAAAGTAGGCCACACTTTTAAATCTGACCAAAATATGATCGTTTAGATTTAAACTGGATTTTAGAATAAATCGAAATGTCTTCTACAATATTAACATTGTTCACAAAATTGGCAATTTAAATTTGAATAAGGTTTTTTTTTAAGAGTAAATTATAAAAAAAAGCTTAGTAAGATTAATAATTTCGAACGGAATCGAATTATTTAATGAAATGTCCAAATTCTTTTTATAGTCGTGCTGTCAAGGCCAGCAAAGAACAAATAAAATCAGGGAATAAAATATATGCCTCAAATTGGCGAAAATTTGCAATTTTAATCGGAATTCAGGGGTTTCACACTCTTTAAAGCCTTTCCACCTGTGATCGATATTCAGTAGCTGTCGTAATGTTTAAGTTTACGGTTCCAATTCTTATTTTGCTGGCCAGTGCGAAGATTGGATGGACTCGCGAAAAGTTCACCATACAAGTAAATGAAGGTAAGGATAAGTTTAAATGATAACAAAATTAAAATTAAATTTATTGATGCTTGCGTCTTGGTAGACAATGCCGTTGGTGCTGTCCTAAAGTCGGAACCCTTCGTAAAAATTAACGAGGGTTATTACTTTTTTGGGACCGAGTCCTTGAACTGGTTCGAGGCCTACGAGAAATGCCGGGAGCTGGATTCTGAGTTGGTAACTTTCGAAACAGACCAGGAGTTCGATGTCGTCGCCGCTTACTTGATGGCCAATGATTCGCGCCAAAACTACTGGACATCCGGAAACGATCTGGCCAAAACAGGAACCCACAAATGGTTCACTAGTGGCCAGCGAATTAGTACTCTTAGATGGGCATCCGGGCAGCCCGATAATGCCGGTTCAAGGGAACACTGCATCCACCTGGGCTTCATCTACGGCAACTCCCAGAAGTTCGAACTAAACGATCGTCCCTGCCACCAGGATAGCAACAGTTTGTTCAAGTATATATGCGAAGCTCCCAAATTGGAAACCATATCCATTGTGGTGTGGAAGTAAAGACGGAAGCTTTTGAAGCTTTTCCCTAAAGAGGAACGCTGCAAACTGCAGTCTTACCATACTTCAAGATAAAGTGCAATTAACAAAATAATTGTTTCACTTATCTTTTGTAAATAGGGTTTAAAGGGGCGAAGATTAGACAGGTGCGCCACTGCAAATATATCTTAAGAAATAAATAGGGCTTATTCTCGTTAGATTCCATCAGTATCTAGCGAAATGCTGAAGAAATTGGTTACATTTTTCCTGGTTGTCGCCAGTTTTAAACTGGGCTTTTCCTACGACAAATACACCACCGAAATACAAAATGGTGAGCATTTGTTATAAAATAAAACAAATATTGTCATGTGATTTAACAATTTTGTTAACAAACAACTTGATCATTAACTCGAGTCCTTTTATAAAAATCGGAGAAGGTTACTATTACTTTGGACAGGATAAAGTGAATTGGTATATCGCTTATGAAAACTGCCGCAAGTTGGGATCCGAACTGGTGACTTTCGAAACTAACCAAGAGTTCGACGGCGTCACTGCGTATTTAGAAAGCAAGGAAGAACGCTCGGAGCACTGGACATCTGGCAATGACTTGGGAAAGACTGGCACCCACAACTGGTTTACCAATGCTCAGCCTGTCACCATAAATCGTTGGGCCCCTAACCAACCAGATAATGCTGGGTTATATATACGGATACTCAACCGATATCCAACTGAATGATCGTCCCTGCAATAATGATCCAAACAGCTTGTTTAAATATGTTTGTGAGGCTCCAGAACAGGAAACTATATCTATTGTTGTTTGGAAATAGAGGTGATTGTAATCAGTTTTTGTCTAACGTTACAAAAACCTTACTTTAATATTCCTCCTAATTTCAACAAACTGTATTACCCTAATATTAATTTCTTATCTGTTCAACATTTCCGTTTTTTCTTTACAAAACGTGAACAAATTTAGGTTCAATAAACAAAGACTTATAGTAAAGATAAGATAAGAATTTTTATCAAACCTGAACAGAAACATTTTTAGTCGGAAATTTTACACAAAGAGAAAGGTTATAAGGACTGATAAATAGAATGTATAAATATTATGGGGCGCTCTTCCAATTCATCAGTCAAAAGCAAAATGTTGAAGAAACTCCTTCCAGCTCTTCTCGTTGTCTCCAGCTTTAATCTGGGATTTTCCTACGATAAATACGCTACTCAAATATTGAATGGTGAGAATTTTTGTTTAAAAGTTAATATAACCTTTTACTTAATAGCATTTAAATTTATTTTAAGGAAACCCAAACAACTTAGCCATTAACTCGAGCCCGTTCATCAAGATCAATGATGGATACTATTACTTTGGACAGGATCAGGTAAATTGGTATGTCGCCTATGAGATCTGCCGCAAGTTAGGATCCGAATTGGTGACCTTCGAAACTGACGGCGAGTTTGATGCCGTTATTGGGTATATAAAGGGCCAGGGCATACGAGCGAACTACTGGACTTCCGGCAATGACCTGGGAAAAACAGGCACCCACAATTGGTTTAGCAATGCTCAGCGCATAAATATAAATCGGTGGGCCCCCAGACAACCCGACAATTACAAAGGAAGAGAGCATTGCATACAGTTTGGTTACATATACGGAAGCTCGAAGGATTACCAACTAGACGATAGTCCCTGCGGCGAATCAAAGAATTATGTTTGTAAGGCTCCAAAGCAAGAAACTATATCAATTACTGTTTGGAAATAGAGCTGATTCATAAGTTGTAATCGGTTTTAATGAATGTATTCAAAAAAAGGTTTCTTTATTATGGACTTTATTTTACTTTATCCTTTAACAAGGCAGTTCTTTTACTATTCTTGGTTATAATCTTGATTTTTTGTAAAATCTATTAAATAAATTCTTTTTGAAAAGCTGACAGCTAATAATATTCTCCAGCATTTGTTTACCTAGTAGTAGTAGCAATAGTAGGCATACATTTGAGGATTATAAGATTTGCCGTGTTTGATTTTGTGGAGTCCTCTCCTTTGGTAAGTGGTATAGATATTACTTGAATTTATAACCAACAATTACGTTTAAAAAAATCCAAAATCATTTTGATTTTGGTGTTAGAAAGATAAAGGGCTGCACTTTCAAATGTTTTAACTGCATAAGGAAACAAAAATCCGACGCCTGTAAAATAATGTCAAAACTAACCAAAAACGGAATTTTTACCCAGCTTGAGCGTCTTTTTTTTAATCCTTGTAGGAAAGCTCTTTTGAGAACGGTCTTTAAAATAGCGTGTCAAAGCGGATAGGATTTGAAGGCATTATTTAATATTTTTGTTCTTATTTCATATTTTCTATATATATGAACAATTTAATAATTTCTCGATATTGATATCATGTTCATAATACACTTTATGGTACACCAATTGTGTGGGTTTATTTTTGACAACAGTTTTTATTCGATAATACTTTTTTCTATTCCGGCTATGACCTTTTTCAAATGTTTCCGTTAGGGGTACTTACAGCCAGGCAGGATTCCTTTGCTCCGGACTGTGCGATAAGGTTGACGCGCACCCGGATCGATCTTGCCGTACATTGTTCTATCCATGGTTCCGATCGAGATTCACTTGTTTTGCTCACTGATTTGATTGAAACGTTAATGATTAATCAAGAAACTGTTTAGTGACATTTTGTATTCCTAAAATCTTCAGGTTTTCCTGGTGTTCTTGCACTGCCACCGGCAAAAAAAAGTTTTATTTGAATTATTTATAAGCGCATTTTTATTTTTGGCCTTTCGGGGCTTGACGACGGATTTGTCGTTTTTGTTTGCGTTGAGTTAGCCTGTCAGAGTGGATATTGTAGTTGTCGTTGTCGAAGTTGTCGTTGTCTTTGCCTGTCTATCAAAGCTTTGCCCCAGTCCACCAACAAAAAAAAAAAAACTAGTTCCCTGCCCCCAGTGGAAGTCCAATGGATTTAATGATAGAAATTGTTGTCTGGGGAGTGCTTTGTGCATTCGAAATTTGCTATTAATTGACTGAGACTGACAAAATACAACATTAGAAGATTAAAGGGATTCCGTGAAGAGTGAGATATTGCTGATCATAGGTATATGATGCAATTTGCTTGAAGAATATTAATAGATTGGCTCGAAATGTAAACAAAATCCATAAATAATGAATATTATTCAGAGTTTTAAGCCATATTCTTATAAAATAAAGCTTGTCAAGTCAAAAGCCAGATCGGCCCAAAAAGAGTAATCACTAAAGATATATCTAAATCTATGTGATCTAAAGATCAAAGGCCACCAACAAGACCGATAAATTAGATCGGCGTCCAAAAACGAAAAATCGTAATATCTGAATCATTTACTCAGACTCCCTAATCCGAAGTGTGTGGGTGAATCTCAATAGATGATCTATGCAACTAACAAAATTTACGATGGTCTGTAGATTTAGTTGAGCCGAAACGATCTATAAAGACAGATTTATGGAATAATAAAAATACCAAAATGAACATGCAGGCCACATTTTACATTTGTTTCAAACAAATAACGACACATTGGAAAAAGGTAAAAAATAATAAACATAAATTCACCGACTAAAACAAAGCGAACCGGGCCGAAAATACTGAAATCGGTGAGGGAACGGGGAATCAAGGTTGCCAAATTACGTCAACACCATGATCGCCAACTAAAAATATCCAAAAGAAAAAATAAAAAGGAAAAAAGCATTTCTAGCAAATCAAAGGCGACGTTTCGTCGTCTAATGAAGGGAGAAAAGAACTGGGAGAAATGGGGGAAATTAATTGAAAATACGACGAGAGATTTCCGCAGAGCGTTGCCAAAAAAACAAGCCGAGAAAAAATAAAAACTCACTTTCCTTCCAGATTTTAGGTAAAGCAAATCCATTTCCCTCTACCTCCACACCTGAGGCATTACTCAGTCTATTTGGGATGACGTCGGGCCGAAATTGTGGGTAATTGTTTTCGGCCCCGTCTTCCTTCTATATTTAAAAGTCAAAGGCACGATTTTGTTTCTTTCGCAGGAAATTCCAAGCGATCTACCGTCGGCCGATCGCCACGATCTCAATATAAATATTTTATTAGTAAGTAGATAAAATGTGTGTGAATGCGAGTGTTGACCTTGCTAAGGTGAAAACGCAATGCGTGGCCAGAAAAAAAAGGCAGGGAAAATTCACGTGGGTGATATTGATCGCAGTGGGCGATCTCTTCTCCGGTTAGTGGCCTTTGGCCAGGTCTTACAATAAACTTGGCCAATTTATGCCGCTGTAAAGTGTATTTTTCACATTCCACTACTGTGAAAGGGCGGCTAAAAAGCGACGACGAAGTCGCCCACTGACTTTTGTGGTTTTTGGGGTCTTGATAAGATAAAGGGTCTATTGGGAGGTGGCCTACACAATGATCAAATTGCGGTTCTGTAGATTAAAGTCTTTTCTGGAGTTAAAAATTAAAGCCTTTCGATTGGTTCAATGAAAGCCTAATTGCCTTTATTTGTTACAAATACTTTTCTACAATTGATTGGCAATTTATCTGAATTATAAAGGGCACTGACAATTGTAAAAATTTAAGTTTTCTGAATAGATTTAGATGGGAAATAAAATACTTCTTTATAGTATTCATAGAAATGGTTTTTAAATTTCGAAATTAAATTTAAAAATTCTAATTCTCCCCAATCGCAAGAAAAACATTGTGTTGGGGTCCCAGCGTGCCACTCATCTTTCTCAAGCAATCGAAAAAACACACTCTAATTGAAATTATGACTTGGCGATAAGAATCTGCTTGTTGAACACTAGAAACGGGGAGAAGAATATAGAGGAAATTGCTAAACAATCGAAACTTAAACTGAAACCTGGCGATGAACTCATTGCACTACGAACACAGTGAGAGAGAATCTAGAGGTGCTAAGTACCTAGAACTAAGACGGGCTTTGAATTGGCAAACAGAACTCAAAAAAGGGGAACTGCGGGAAATAATCCAGAGATCAGTGATCTGTGGATATCTGTTGCGGTTTCATATCGAATCGTGAAAGACAAAGACAGCAGCTGTCTGGTCGTAAACGAATAGCATCAACTGAGCGTATCTACGAGATACAAAGATATTGGGGAGAAAAACGAAAACGAAAGCGATTCTCATAAGTGCACAACTCACAACGAAATGTTTATTTGTAAGCACTATGTCAGCCGAGTTTACATCATTTTCCAGCATTTCCATTTGCTGTCGTAACTCGAGATACTTTTATGAGGAAGGGGCAGGAAGTTTCCCTCGTATAAATGCACTTGGCTTCGAGGGCTTGAAATATGTGAAAAATGTCATAATTTTAATAGATTAAGTGGGCACAATTTAATTGGTTTTGTTGCTTGTTGTTATTGTTATGTTATTTTGTGCATTTCGATCCAGAAAAAAATACCAAACTAATTTCCATCTCATCGCCCACGGTTTTAATCCGTTTGGGGCCCGAGGCGAAAATAAATGGGGCTAACCAAAATTCTATGCTCTGCCAGATCGAGGCAAATAAGTCATATATTTGAATGTCTTGTCCGTTGATAATTAGTTCCATAATTAGTCGGAATGCTAATGAAATTGAAACGTTTTTCGAACAACTTGCCGAAAAGATTTGCCAAGAATTAGTGGAATCTTAAGGCGAGTGACACGAATCCGTAAATCATTTCAAAGATTATTTTTTATTTTTATCTAGCTGGCATTCCTGCTATATTGCTTATCTAAGTACTTAGCTATCTGTTTGTCAACTTTTTTGCTGCAGATATTTCTTACACTCGCAGTTGGCAATTTCCCACGCTCCAACCTGCCGCAATATCACTAACACAGTTCCAATGATTTTTCATCAACTTTTTCCCGCTTTAGTTTTTCGCCGATCACTTGATGGATTGCCTTTTGTTTGGGTTTGAATTTGTTGTTATATTTTCAACCGCGTTATCTGTGCACTTTTGACTGCACTTTGGCAGTGTGTTTTCACATATTTTATTTATTATTCCTAGAGATCGTAGGACTCAGTTGGGAGACCAAAAACCGAGAGCCCTCCGAAGAAACACACGCGCTGCGCTCGCGTTTCAGTAAGAGCGTCGCAATCGACTGAAATCCAATGGGGACCCAGTGCTCGGGCTCCATTAGAAGAGCTCTCCGGCTCTCGTGGTCGTTCATAAAGAGCGGAAGACTGGGAGAGCCCCAGTGTTTGAGAGCAGGTAAACAAACTGCACTTGAAAAAAAATATACCGTGTGTGGTTCGTAAAACACTTTTAAATAAAACATATTTTTACACAAAGAAAAAAACAGAAACAACATAGAAGAAGAAACACATATGTACGTTAAGGAAGCGAGTGCGTTTTCCTCATATCAATTAAAATATTAGTGGTACCTTTAGTCACTTAATAATATTAAAATAAATAAAATGTTAAAGATTTTACAATCTGGCGTTAATAAATATTTTAAACAGCCCACGGGTACTAATTAAAATAAAATATTATTATTTGTGCTAAATAAAAACTAGTTTGCGTAGAAACGGACGGACAGACGGACGGACAGACGGACATGGCTAGATCGACTCGTCTAGTGATGCTGATCAAGAATATATATACTTTATGGGGTCGGAAACGTCTCCTTGACTGCGTTGCAAACTTCTGACTGAAATCATAATACCCTCTGCAAGGGTATAAAAACCAATTGCTTAGCACTAAACTATATCTTGTCATAACTTTAATTCAGATGTGGTCTTAAAATATTTCCTGTTCAATGAGTTTTTCTGAGTGCCAAGAGAGCCATTTAATGATGAGAGGAAGAGCAAGAGCTGTTTTCGCTATAAAGTCGCTTTTCATTCGCTTTTGGAGTGGCTTTTCATTTTGCATTGCGGCCTGTGGCGGAGCATTTCGACCGCAAGTGGGAGGAACAAGGAACGTAAACCAGAGCGGACAACAATATTGTCGCCCGTTAAGAGCTTTCCTTTGGGTTCGTGAACAGTGGGCTAGCTGCCAAGAAAAACGACCTTTCCCTTTTGTCAAAATATAACGAAAACGTGAGTAAAAGAAAAACAAATTAAATCAATACTTTTTTTGTTTATTTCGAATTGGTATTGTACTTACATTATAGTACTACAACAGCTCAAATCAATAAAACAAAATCAATCACAAAATTGTTCTTATATCAAGTTTTTTGACAAACAATAAATACCCCTTATAAAAGTGGTAAAACAAACGTTTTTCAGCACAATTTGGTTACTATGAGAATTTTTTTTTTATACTTTCACTTTAATTTTGCCTGACTCAATCGACTTATTAAAAGATTTCGTAAATTTGAACACAATAATAACGCCTTTCGATCAACGTATCAAGTGTTTCGATCTGACTATCATAGCTTTCAATTTTGCGGCTGTTGCGCACAGTCATGGCGCGATAAATGGGTTTAACGGGAGTACATTTAACCCCAGATTTAGCCGAGTTGCGTTGGAATATTTTAATTTTCGAGGCATACGTTGTAAACCTTTTGTCCCACTGTTCATGCAGTTTCCCCAACCATCAACGATCTCCCCTGCATTGCAACGCAGTTGGAGTGTTACTCTTGGTGGAAAACGCCGTCGACCCTCAAGGCCCAGACTTAACCGATCTCAACAGATCATCTCGTCACTGCTGTTACAGTGCGCACACGCAACACGAACAGAAGACATTGCGTGTCGAGTGGGCGATGAAGTGGGCGCGCACTCACTAATGGCTGCAAATCACAATTGATGCAATTGAAGCCGGTGAAGAAGATCGAGATGAAGATGAAGATCAAGCCCCAACTTCCTGTGCGAACTCATTGACAATTAGAGTGAAACTTGTTGGGCGAAGGATTTGAGTTGAGATGATGAATGTGCGTTGTTATTGTCAATCAGCTAGAATTTTTCGAAAGTGTTTGTAAAATGGGTTTTTTAATTGATCACAACTAGGATTTAGAAAATATTAGATCACATTTACATTTTGCTGTCTTTTTTTTAATTCTATATTCATATTTATCCTTAAGTAAGTTCTTATTTGCTTTCAAAATACTTCATCTTAAATTCATAACAGTGTCCTGCAGATTTACATTTTTGCGGGTCTAAGACCACTGTGCGTAGGTGGAATTGTCAGTCAGCTGGAATGTTTCGAGAGTGTTTGTGACATGGCCTTTAGTCATTTCTTAAGAATGTCTGGGCAGAAAAAAATAACAAGATTACACACATATCCACATGGAGAGTTGGCTGCACTTCCATGAGCGAGATTTTCTTCATTTCTTCTTGCTTTATAGAAAGACATTCAGAAGAACACGGAGAGAGACTGTAAACAGCGAAGAATTGTGTCATAAAGAAAATAAAGTAAGACGACAAATACACTTTTATTTTGCTGATGGTGACTAAAAGAGCGCTGGCAGCAAAAGAAAACAAATAAAGCTGCCCGGCGGATCAGCTCGCGCTCTCATATCAAATCATTCACTAAAAGTCCAAGGGTTTTGAACTGAGAGCTGCGGAAAACCACACCCTCTTTGCCTTGAGGAATCGTGAATGATCTCACACTGGAAGTGGGGGCCTTAATGTTTTTATGTTCGATTTCCAGGTATTCGGATAAATCATAAAAATGCAAGGAATGCAAAACTCGTGCGAAAAGCACTTCCCAAATGACGGGAATCACTCCTTTATATAAATTTACGGATTTAGCGATAAGACGGGCACTTGGATTTGTTCATCAAGAACACGTAACACAACCATTTTTAATCGTGATTAATGCTTGTATGCTAACGATAAGATACAGTAAATATTTGTAATCATGAAACAAACCTCAAAAAACAATATTGTTGCGAAAATGTATATCTTTTTTTTATTTCTACTCTAATATTATTATTTTAACATTTAATTTGATTGGATTTAATTTGTTAAATATTTTAAATTTTTCTTTAGTTTATTTATGGCACAGTAGGTTGATTTATACAAATGAGTCAGTTAATAAACAAACAAAAAGTTCGACTTAGCCGCTCCTCACTGTAAACGAAAATTATTCATCCGTGAGATTTCCGTCTTTCGGTGTCGCCACCTAGCGGACATTGTGAGAATGCCCTACAGCATACTAATTAACTCCAATTAGCGACTGACCTTGAAGTGGGAGCATTATCTTTGTGCTGTTTGTCTACGTCACAGTTTTCATGCTGCGGAATTCTTTAGTTCGCGAAGTATATTTTCTTTTCGTCTGGGGAAAAGTGGACCACTTACCCAAATCATCCATTGCGTTGAATTGTTTTTGTCCCGCTTTGTGTGTTGGTGTGCGCTCTCCGCTCTTTTCCAAGTGGAATGCTCAGTTTTCTGGATTTATTTGGCACAGGCACACGCGTCTTTAATTGATGCTGATTGAACGCGAAGAGCGACAAATCCACGCAAACAATTTTTTCTACTTTTACACTCGCGACTCGAAAACCGCGGAGTTGGAATCGAGACTAATTTTAAGCTGTTGCCAGCGGCCGAATGGCGAGTATCGGTGGATTTCGCCGCGAGTTGGAGACGAGTTTTATATATGAATCACTTTAATTTTGGAGCGGCGGTCATAAACAATACAAAAAAACATTGGAGCACGTACACAGACACAGACACACACAAGCGCGCTTGGGCAACGCGAGAGAGGCAAAACAGCTGATATTCTATCGATAGGGCTATCGGTATCGTTGGAACTATCGCACCGAGCCAATTGGAATCCAAGTGGTAATAAAATACTCCTAAAATAACGGTTATCTATAACTGACTTTGAAATTCTACTAGTTTAAAAGATGAGTTAGAACATTATAATTATCTTTAATTAGTTAGTTATAAATGAAGTTACATTTTAAAACCCACGCGAAAAATACCAAAATATCAATGCCAGTTACGTTTCTCTGTCTATAAATTGCCTTTTATCTGTGGTAAACAATGATTAGTTAACAATCTGCAATATATCTCGCATTTTCAGTCTGTATAAAGATTAGGCCCATCCAGACGTGAAATGGAAAAAAGAAGTGAGGCGCCGATAAAAAGCACCAAGTTTCGAAAGCTGAGCGATGCGGACATGACGGAGGTGCAGCTGAATAATTTGGATCCTAGCGCAAAGGATAATGTCGAGATCGGAAGTAGCCAGGGAAATGACGGAAGTAATCCCGTTCAACACTCGAAATGGTTCAGATCCCGACTCTTCATCATATCCGTGATCTTCTCGGCCCTTCTGATGACCGCCATGTGTATTGGCTTTGTGGTGCACTACGGAATGTCCGGCGATGTGGGCGACATGGAAACGGTGACCTATTGGCCGGTTAATCTGCCCCAGGAGCAGAAGGAGTGGTACGATCTGGGTATAGAGGAGCTGCAAAAGGCTGTTTCCCGGGAATTTAATCGCCGTCGAGCCAAGAATGTGATTCTATTCGTGGGCGATGGAATGGGACCGAATACAGTGACGGCGGCAAGGATTTACGGTTTCAAGGAGGAGGGACTTCTCCGTTGGGAGCAGTTTCCCGAAATGGGTTTGTTAAAAACCTATTGTGCGGATAAACAAGTTCCGGATTCCTTCTCCACGGCCACTGCGCTCTTCGGAGGAGTTAAGGTTAACTACGAAACGGGCGGAGTGGATTCGAATGTGCCGCTGGGAAACTGTGCCGCCTCCCTGCAGGAGGATCACCATGTCCAGACGATCCTCAAGTGGGCTCAGGTGGACGGAATGCGAACGGGTTTCGTGACCACCACCCGGGTAACTCACGCCACTCCGGCTGCCCTCTATGCCCACGTTCCCGACCGCCGTTGGGAGTGCGAAACTGGGATGCCAGCAGAGGCCCAGGATCAGGGTTGTATGGATATAGCCCGCCAGCTGATCGAACAGCCCACCGGTCAGAGAATCAATGTCATCATGGGCGGCGGTCGTCAGATGCTCGTGTCCAATGTCACCGATTCACCAGCCGATCCCCTGGACACTTGGGCCAGCATGTCGAAGGATGGACGAGACCTCATCCGAGATTGGAGGCTTAGGAAAGAGGATGAGGGTGTCTCACATGCCGTAGTACAAAATAATCGCGAGCTCTATAATCTCGATGCTCAGAATGTTGACTATGTCTTGGGCATCTTTGCCAATGGTCATTTGATGTACGATCACGAGCGAGATCAAAGTGATGCCGGAATGCCCTCGCTATCGAATATGACCCAAAAAGCCCTCCAAGTTTTGGGTAACAGTGACAAGGGATTCTTGCTGGTGGTCGAGGCTGGCCTAATCGATCAGGCCCATCATCGGGGAAAAGCTCGCAAGGCTCTGCACGAGGTTCTCGAACTGAACAAGGCCGTCGAGTCAACACTCTCGTTCCTCAAGTCAACTGATCGCTTGGATGAAACCCTGGTTATCGTGACCGCCGATCATTCGCATAGCCTGACCATTAATGGGCACCCAGATCGAGGAGCCAGTATATTGGGTTTTGCGGGAAACTCAAAAACAGAACAGACGCCCTACACCACGCTGACGTACGGAACCAGCTATCAAGGATTTCAGGTGGATCCCAGCACACAGAACCGTAGAGATCCCACGGAGGACAATACATCCGACTGGGAATACACCCAGCAGGCAGCCATAAACACGGACGAAAATCTACACGGCGGATCGGATGTGACGATCCACGCAGATGGTGCCATGTCCTATCTGTTCCACGGGGTCCACGAACAGAGCTACGTGGCACACGCCATATCCTACGCTCTTCGAATCGGACGATTCCGGGATAGCTCCATTGCCGAAACACTGGCTGAATTTACGCCCATATAGAAGAACACAATTACCTTTACCCTCTAATGTTAAAATATATATTTAAGAGAAACAAATATTTTCTTGCCCAGCTACGTTGTAATAGAGATAGAACTAGAAAAGGACTTAAGATTAAGAACTGGCTAAATAGTTTCCTATGGGTTTGGATACCTAAGAAATATTAAAAGTTGATGTTTAAGGATTTTAGATATAAGATCGTTGAATTTTATTTTTATTTCAAAAGTTGTATTTTATTCGTTTCTTTAAATAGGTTTCTCTGCTTAATATCTCTCCTCTCTTCAGATTTTTTACGCAGTGAAACCTGCAATAATATTCATTATCTTAACAGCCAAAATGAGGATTGCTTTAGAAGCTTTTTGAACGTGAACTTGAAGGCTTGTATAGAATTATATACCTGTAGAAATAAACCCTGTTAATAAACCTATATTCATTAAAGATGACTGTTTTATTGTGTTTTTTTTAGTTAAAAATGGACTTGCTGCAACTAAACGACGATTGTTTGGAAGTTATATTTAGCTACTTAAAATTAGATGAACTACTGCCGCTCTACAATGCAATTCAATGTTTCAATGCGGCCATCGAAAGACAACTCCACCGATTTAAGGATTTCAAATTCACCATGAGAACACCTCCTGTTTTCAATGAAGACCTATTGATAAAACTGGGTCACCATCTGAACAGTCTGCACATAAACGTGGGCTACTCCACCAAGGACGAAGACATCCTGCGATACCTGAAACCCTTGTGCCAAGGAGCCTCCGAGACTCGCCGGATAAAAGCCTTAAAGTTAGATCATGCCAAGTGGTCATTTAATATGGTAGAAGCCGTGAGACAAGTGGTTCCATCGCTGTTATTTTTGGACATGCGTCACTGCGATGTGCGCGATTATCAGATAGCGCAGCTCTTAGAATCGGCAGATAAGTTGAAGGCCCTCGCTCTACTCCATGTGAACAACCAGACGGGTGATTCTTATCTGCAACCCCAAATACTCAACAGGTTGCCATCTCTGAAACTCATCCACATCACAATCCTTGGACCTGTGCCCTTTTCACCTGAACATCTGGCTGAGCAGTGCCCGAACCTGAGTTTCCTGATCACTGACCTTATCAAAAGCGATTTTAAGATATATGGTGATCCTGTGTACATTCAAAACTACTATAAATACTACAATGAATATTTCAAGGCATTATAAAGACTCATGCTAAAAGATCTCAGGGGAAATGGGTTAGTTAATAGTTCCTAGATTAAATATTATACTGACTTTTATTGAAAAGGGAATGAATGCATTTAAAAAATTGCTTTATTAAGGTAATTTTCTTATACTCAAATGATTGTTAAAAATACTGGATTCATATTATTATTTTTATATAATAAAACAAAATTCGTAAAAAATAAAATATATTTTTTTTTGGTTCAAAGTTGTTATAATAGTTCACTGAATGAATGTTGTTATAAACATTGTATATAAATCAGTTACATTTATGGAAGCAATAGTGCATCTGAACATTTTGGTAATCGAGTAACTTCTGAAGACATTTTGAAAATAATAACAATAATAATAATTCACAAATCAGTGTACAATTTAAAGTTACCGAGTAAAATTATTTTTTGGCTGAGACAGCTACCAAAATTGAATTAAAGTTTTGTGGCGCTAAGTTCAATGCAATTCAAAAAAGTTGCTCAATACTAAGATCTTCAATGTTATAAGTAGGCAAGCATTTTATACAATTGTAAGCGTATAAAATAGGTCCATTTTCGTTTCGTATCCCAAAAACCTTAATTTATTTAATAATAATTAGTAGTAGTTTTAGTTTTGTAGCTAATACGTTTTTAAATAAAGAAATAAAAAGCTTTTAGTTTGTAGTTATAATTTTGTAACGTTACATTTTAATTTTTTTAATACGGGTTTATCGACCTATCGCCCCAATGGCTCATTGGAAAAACATCGATACCAATTCGCCCCGCCACTTCTCCCATCGCTATTTCATGCCGGCATGCAATGCAAAAAACTGACGAAATAGCGACCTTATAAATAGCAACCGACTTAGCTGGCCAAGTAAACCCCCCGAAAACCAGGATGGTGGTGCGTCCGTACAACGATGAGCTCAAGTACCTGGAGAAGGTGAGCGACCACTGCTGGCGGATCAAGAAGGGCTTTCAGCCGAATATGAATGTGGAGGGCTGCTTCTATGTGAACAGTCGCCTGGAGCGCCTGATGCTGGAGGAGCTGAAGAACTCGTGTCGCCCGGGAGCCGTCGGTGGATTCCTGCCTGGCGTCAAGCAGATAGCCAATGTGGCTGCCCTGCCGGGCATCGTGGGTCGGTCCATTGGACTGCCCGACATTCATTCCGGCTACGGATTCGCCATCGGCAACATGGCCGCCTTCGACATGGACGATCCCCTGTCTGTTGTGAGTCCCGGTGGCGTGGGCTTCGACATCAACTGCGGCGTCCGGCTGCTGCGCACCAATCTCTACGAGAAGGACGTGCAGCCGGTGAAGGAGCAGCTCGCGCAGTCCCTGTTCGATCACATCCCCGTGGGCGTGGGCTCCAAGGGCATTATACCGATGAATGCCCGCGATCTGGAGGAGGCCCTGGAAATGGGCATGGACTGGTCGCTGCGGGAGGGCTATGTCTGGGCGGAGGACAAGGAGCACTGCGAGGAGTACGGCCGCATGCTGAACGCCGATCCGGCCAAGGTGAGCATGCGGGCCAAGAAGCGAGGACTGCCCCAGTTGGGCACCCTGGGTGCGGGCAATCACTACGCCGAGATCCAGGTGGTAGACGAGATCTACGACAAGTGGAGCGCCTCCAAGATGGGCATCGAGGAGAGGGGCCAGGTGGTGGTGATGATTCACTCGGGCAGCCGTGGCTTCGGCCACCAGGTGGCCACCGATGCCCTGGTCCAGATGGAGAAGGCCATGAAGCGGGACAAGATCGAGGTGAATGACCGACAGCTGGCCTGCGCCAGGATCAATTCGGTGGAGGGACAGGACTATCTGAAGGCCATGGCAGCGGCCGCCAACTTTGCCTGGGTCAACCGCAGCTCCATGACTTTCCTGACCCGCCAGGCCTTCGCCAAGATGTTCAACACCACCCCCGATGATCTCGACATGCATGTGATCTACGATGTGTCGCACAATATTGCCAAGGTGGAGAACCACATTGTGGACGGCAGGGAGCGAAAGCTGCTGGTCCACCGCAAGGGTTCGACGCGTGCCTTTCCGCCACACCATCCCCTGATCCCAGTGGACTATCAGTTGACAGGGCAGCCCGTCCTGGTCGGTGGAACCATGGGCACCTGCAGCTACGTGCTGACCGGAACGGAGCAGGGAATGCAGGAGACATTCGGCAGCACCTGCCACGGAGCGGTGAGTTATCTTTAAGTTAAGATTTTTCAAGATTAAGATTTTATTTCGAGTTTTTACGTTATATACAGCCGACTTACAATCGACCAAAAACCACATTTTTCATATTTGTCGAGCTTCTGCGCTGCCATAGCTTATCCAATCATTTTGATCTGTATAAAAAATTAAGCTCTGATCTATTGACTTTAAAATTAAACGAAAACTGGCCCAATTGGGTAGATATAAGCCGAGATGTAAGAAAAAATTTAAAAAAAAGTCCGAAGTTAAACATTTTAAAACAAATCTTTAAAAAAAAATCAGTGCCAAAAAAATATTTTCGTGATCTAGGGCTCTAGCACTAACAGAATTTTTATGGAGCACTCCAATAATATTATTTTGTAAACTAGTGTTATCAAGCTGACTTGTAAATATGAAAATATGCATTCATTTAGAGTCATCTTTATGAAAACTCTCTCCTATTTGATAAGAATAAGGTTATTACTTATTTTGTATCCCTAAATTAATCTCTTATTTGTGATCCTTAGGGTCGCGCTCTATCTCGTGCCAAATCTCGCCGCAATCTGGACTACAAGGAGGTGCTGGACAAGCTGGATCAGCTGGGCATCGCCATTCGAGTGGCCTCGCCCAAGTTGGTCATGGAGGAGGCTCCCGAGTCCTACAAGGACGTGACCGATGTGGTCGACACCTGTCATGGGGCGGGTATAAGCAAGAAATGCATCAAAATGCGACCCATTGCGGTCATCAAGGGCTGACTTTAATTTATTTTTGTGATTAAACCAATAAAGATTTATAATTTATAATACCTGTTGATCGTAAAAATTACTCTTAAACTTGTATAACTCAAAGTTAACTTTGTAATTAGTTATTTATGTACTTGTATTAATAATTTTTATATTTTTCCTAGATTATTGGTTCTATAGATTAAATTAAAAATCAAAGCTAACGGGTTTTTGTTTGCCACTCACACAGAAGTTCACTTAACATTCGGTCCGCAAGTTATACAGCTGACTGACAGTTCCGATTTGTTTTGTTTTGTTTATTAATTTACTACTCAAAATTAAATGATTAAGAATGGAAATGATTTTGTGTTTTTCCTAGATTATTGGTTTTATAGATTAAATTGAAAATCATAGCTAACGGTTTTTAGTTTGCCATTCACGAAGAGGCATCCAACAGTTTACTTAACATTTGATCCGCAAGTTAATCAGCTGATTTTTTTTCTACTCAAAATTAAATTATTAAGAATGGAAATGATTTTATGTTATTCCTAGTTTTTTCGTTCTATAGATTAAATTAAAAATCAAAGCTAACGGTTTTTAGTTTGCCATTCACACAGAAGTTCACTAAACACTCGATCCGCAAGCTAATCAGCTGACTGACAGTTCCGATTTGTTTTGTTTTGTTTATTAATTTACTACTCAAAATTAAAATATTAAGAATGGAAAATATTAATGAAGATATATGGATAAATATCCTGAAGTTCCTGCCCATGAGTGATCAGTTATCGCTGGCCCAAGTCAACGAACGAGTCTCGTACTACGTAATATACCACTGGACTCGTCTAAAATCAGCGACCCTTAACCGAGACGACCTGGAATTGCTGGACAGAATTGAGAGTTAGCACACCATCGGTCTATTGATTCCTTAATAATGTTAGTTTTTACCTAGAACTGATGCAGGATTGCCTAAATAGTTGGTCGGGATCGGTGGAGCGGTTAAATCTACCCAGTGCCAGTAGAGATCTGCTGGCGAAGTGGAAGGATTATAGATTTCCCAACCTCCGATCGCTCGACTGCCAAATGGACTACAACCTCGAGGAGGCCGACGAGGAGACCCTGCTGCTGACCGAGCTGTTCCCCCACCTGACCAGCCTCACCCTCAATAGCAGCACCACAGGGCGTTACTTGTGGCGCTGGGCGCAGCTGAAGGAGCTGAATCTCACCTGGTGCGAGTACCTGGAAACGGGCCACTTTGAGGAGATCTTCGGCAGCCTAAAGCTGACCAAGCTGACCCTGCTTTACTATGGATACAATGTGAATCTGGGCGAGGGGGTGGTGGCCGTCACCCGGTGTTCCACGCTGGAGGAGCTGATCATCGACGACCACCACTTGCTGGACGACTTCATGCCGCGACTGTTGAATCTGCCGCACTTCCGCCGCCTGGCCTTCTACACGCGGGACTACCATGAGTTCCTGCTGCATATGGTGGCATGGCACAAGCCGCTCAAGGTGCGATCGCTGCTCTTCAACGACTCCTTCTGGAGCAGTGAACGGATGACGGAAAGTATCCTGCACATGACCAATCTTCGCCGGCTGGCCCTGCACGAAGATGACATCGATTCGCACGCGCTGCATGCCATATGCCACAAGCTGCCCAAACTGGAGGAGCTGCATTTGCTGCAGATGCGCGATGTACCCTCGCCCACCCATTTGTGGAATTGTATAGATTTGTGTCCCACGCTCAGGATCCTCAACCTGTCGTCTTCCAAGATGAGCTGTCAGTCGGTGGATCCTAGCAACCCGCACATCTCAAATATTCTGGTCAAACGCAGCTATCCGCTGACGCTGCATCTCCACAACACAGGATTGGATCCCGAAAAGGTACGTTTACTTGAATAGTAGTTCTAGTCGTACACCTAACATTATTTACCATCATAGATTCTACCGACTGTGGATTATCCTAATTTAAAAATCACATTCGAACCCATACTTTTGGATATTTGGAGCTCACGATTTGTGGAAATCGAATTACATTCTGAATAAATTAACATAAGTTTCAACTGTTTACTAATATTAGTAGTAAAAAACCGACTCAGATTGCAATAAATCCCCAGGTAATCGCATTTCACACAAATGAAGTTTAATCAGTTCCACAGAAAAACATTAAAAAATACCTTATCACTTATCATTTGTCTCTATCGGAATTGGGGGTGATTGCCCCAACCTATGTATATATATCTTCAAAACGAAACGAAAAGCTCATTTTGACTTTTAAACTGGTCGGTAACGGTAATGGATCGCACAAAGTGCCACTGCAAACACAGAAATGTGAATCCCCTTAAAAGTAAAATTTTACTATTCCCTAAGTACAATACAAGTGGGTATTTTAACTGCTATTGCGAACACAGTGAACACGATTTGCAAAGGAATGAGATGGTCCTTGTTAAAGAGGAGCTGGATAAGGCGTATGACGTTATAGCCGAAATGGAATTCGAATTAGAAAGTGTAAGTGCTGCAGTAAAAACATATATTTGAAATATAACTGATTGTGATTTGAGAACAGATGGACCTACTTGCTGTCCAAAATCAGTGGCTACGTGAGGAATTGATGAAAGTTAAGGCGGAGGCCGTAGGTGTTATTCACAGGGACGAGGAGGATAATCCAGCATCTCGAAAGAACCGTCGCACTTATAGGCAGCAAGTTTCTGTAGGAATTCTAGAACCCGAACGTAAAAGCCCAACGCAAGACAAGCGTTACGGACTAGTTTTACATTAACTTGAATCTTAATGGCATTAGAATTAATTAATCAAAATCCGAGCTAGTAAATTGCTGGCTCTACAAAAATGAATAAAAATTAATCATTAATCATTATGGTCCATAAAAATATGTCGAAGTGACAGAACTCAAAGGTGAGCAAAAATAAATTGTTTAGATATCAAATGCAAATTAAAGCCTTTGTTTTTCTCTATCAAGTTTACTTCTTGCCAAATGAGCTTTCAATATATATCTCAATATTTGGCGCTCCTTTATCTGCACAATTTATCTCTTATCGCATTTATTACACACATCCAGCTCTGAATTAATTGTGGTGGCATTTATGGTACCTCGAAGTCCACTTATCTGCCTAGAAAGCCATTCGAGCCACATGCATTAATCAGCCGACCCTAATTCACCTGTAAATAAATAAAATCAATTGCATTTGCAGCTCGGTCGCTCCCTTATTGACTTGTGGATTGTGTAAGCGAATTGCAATGCATTTGCAGCTCCCAAGTGGATATATTTTATGACCTCTGGAAATTAGATTGCTGAAGCTGAAGAGCACCAAAAGTGTTGACCATTAAATGGAGAAGTAAATGTAGGAATATTACAACACAAATTCCCAAAAAACAAGAGTACAACATTGTGAAGTTTCTCAAAATGTAGACTTTTATTTGATCGTGTCCCGACTCACGGTAATTTATATGTTTGCAGCATTTTTCCATAGACACAATAATTTTTAAATATATATGCAAGTAGAATTCCGTAAGTATATATATATGTATATATTTGTATAGCATTAGTTGTACGTGTGTTTTAATAATTTATATTTACAATACTTAAAAGTCGCGAGAGACCAATCGGCTATGGATGAAATAAACTTTCAGTTTCGTTGGGGTTTTTATTGGCTTCATTTGGGGGCCAAAAGTGTGTGTTTTTTTTTTTGTGTAGCTTTTTTGTTTATGTAAGACATACCTAGTTAAAGATTTTTTGCGCGATTTTGCTTACACTTGAATATATATTTAGGATATTTATTTAAATTTCTCCCTTCTCTTTTTTTAGATTTCCCTTTTTCTTTGGGTTAAAACGAACAATTAGGAGTGAGTTTAATCAGAGATGGAAATTTGCATAAATAGTGTTCAACATTATCTTTCGGAGCAACAGTTTAACGCTTTTATTCGGATGTTCGCCTTCGGTATATATAATTTCGATATCTGTTGAATATTTATTCTTTCATAATGCAGTAAATTACTTGTTAGAAAAATGTGATGAATTCATGAGGACAGATCCGTAATAAATATATAGTATGTACAATGAATAACAAACAAACTAACGTAATGCAAATTAAAGCTCTAAGAAAGAGTCCAAGAATGGGTCAAGTTTAAGTTGAGAAGTTGACACTCGTCCTTAGCGTCCACAGGATTCGCAGCCCGGACTCCTCCAGTCGACTTAGACATCGGTCTCGGATCGCCGCCTTCGCCCGGGTCCGCCGGCGAAATTGGCCGCAGCCAGACCCATGCGATGTTTCGCCTCCTGAGTTCCCGAGTATCCCCGGGCCAAGCCAAAGTCCACGGTTCGCTTGGAGCTGCGAAAGGAGTGTTGTTAGTGGGTACTATTAAATTTTATTTTATTAAAATAATATAATTTTTTTTTAACTTTTTGTTGACAGGCAGAATTTGCTTCTTAATACTATTCATGGTATATTATATTATTTAGTTACTTCACTGCAAGCATTAGACTTCGATTTATATATATTATATTATTTAGTGACTTCACTGCAAGCATTATTATATAGACTTAATTTTTTAGAGAATCGTGATCCGATAATTTGGATAGCACCAAAATAAAAGTAAAATCCTTAAATTCAGTCAAATACCCTTCTTTAATAATTATGAATCTCAAAGAATCGTTATTTTATCTATCAAAAATTCAATCAAATAGGTTAGTTTTATATCTAGTATTTTTATCACTCATAAAATATGTTATTTTTTAGGTTTTTATGTAAATAAAGATTGATTTAACCAAATTTTTTGTTGAACACTTACTTCTCCAGATCGTTCCGTGCCCGAATTATGGTGCGTCCAAAGCGAGTCATCAGTTCCATCAACAAGTCGTCGGGCACCTCCTCCAGTTCGTTATAGCCAGCGCCGTAGCCTCCGCCATTGGATTGGCTATTTTAAAATCAGCGAAATGGAAAATTAGAGTTTAGCTTAGGCTGCTCCTGTTGTATTTATACATTTGGGAACTGCGTACGAACAGGATATCTAATTACTTTGGCTCTGTTAAATTTGACATTCGACTGGCTTAAAATCTTCATTTGCATGGGAACCCAATTATTTGTTAATGCCCCAATGTTTGGGGGCATTTTCCATTCGAGCAATTGCTAATTAGTTGGGCAAGGCCAATGAATTTTTAATAGTTGCTTTGACGATGGGAAATTGAGTCTTGAATTTGCCCGAATTGTTATCTTTTCCTGCTTCAAAGTGTGCCATCTACTTATACCGCTCAAGAGTATGTAAAAGTACCACAATTTTTGGCACATTTTTGCGCCAACGTTTACATTTTATTAATTGAAAATTTTCTTTCGCCAGCTGCGAAGATGGAAAAAGACGCTGACACTCTAAAGTGTGGTGTGAAAACTCATGTGAACGTTATGCTCGGCAGCCTAAGTATATTCTCATCTCCCACATGGCCAAGTATCGCTTAGAACCAACATTGGCTGGCGCTCAGTGGGGTAATTGCTTTTGCTCAAATATTTGTATGCCACATTTTTTGGTACTCGCAGCCAAAGTGCCAGAATTTAATTAGGTTATGTCCTTTTGTATGCGTTAAACCAAATTGGAAAGGATGTGCTAGGGGAATTAAAATATAGGGTACAACTACCTGGGCATTGGAGCAGCCTCGATGCCCGAGATGGCCAAGAAGCAGAAGAGGAGGAAAGCCAGGGCAAGGCAAGCACTTCGGTTTGTCATCATTGTGCGGCTGTCTCCTAAAAGAGTTAAGAATGATTATTTATATTAGATTTATACACTTAACAAAATAACAAAAAGAAATATTTTAGAAATTTTTAAAAATGAAATTCCAATGACTTATAATTTTGTTTAGTTGCCTTGATATCTTTTAAGAAATATGTATTAAAAAACTGAAGACTGATTAATTAGATTATCTTGATATATGATATGAAATGATATGTATGAAATAATATAATATGAAATGATATGATATGAAATAATATAATATTTCCTAACCAAAAAGTGTAATAGGCAAGTTATGGGTTTATATTTAAATTTGAAATAGAATAAAATAATAACATTACAAAAATGAGAATAGACACTTTAAAGGTAGTTCATAAACTTGTCATATATATTTTTTTTTAATATTTAAAACACGAAAACAGTTATGTTTTAATTTCTTCCTGACTTTTCTAACTAGTTAACTTTTCTTAAGTGTTTTTATAAATGTTCACCAAAGACAGGCTTAAGTTAAGGGTTAAGTGTTCTAGGGTCAACATCAATCAGACACAATTAAAAATCGATTGCGAGGGTTGAGTTTACTTCCAAAACGGAAGTCGGGTGGAGCTGGCGACCAGGTTTTTCCATTAAGTGATTCATTAACTGCCCAACGAAGCAGTCTCGATTCCACTTCCAACCCCATATCTGGGTTACTCTTCCTGTTTTCCGTCGCTTTCCCTGCCCAACTCATTTGCGTTTTACGGCAATATGACCTGTTGTCCCCGTTCGGACCTCGACTTTTTGCATTGCTCAACTGCACTTCCACTTCCTGTCATTGTAGACGGATGCCCCTCGTCCTTTCTCGCCAGCAACTTCTAAATGGTGTTGTCACTGTTGTGTTTACAGTTGCAAAACTATAGTTCTCGACATCACTGGCTACCCTTTGACACCCGGTGGTATTCCTGACATCTGTGGCAGTCTCCAAAGTCCTCGGATCCCCAGAGACCCCCACTTGACACCCCGGCACACACATCATTGCCCGGGCAACAGGCTGGACAAATGAATTGGCTCTCCGAGCTGATGGTTTCTGTCATTGCCTTCATAACACACCTCCACCCCATCTCCTTTGAACCACTCCCCTCGGCCAGAGTCAACATTTGTCCCACTGCCAGCTGGGGATTTGCGGACTACCGGATAACACAGTTGGATAACCGCCTCAGTCTCCTTAAGTGTCAATAAATCACAGCCATGAGATGCATTGAGGAGGAGGAATAGTTTATAAGAGCCTGCATTTTAGCGACACCCAACAAAAAATTTATATGAAACGTAGAAACAATTTTAAATTGATATGCGACCAGGTAAATTTGGTATGCTCTAAAAGAGTATTTCATGTAAAAATGATATGCGCATTGCATAACCAGAAATTTACATGCACATATCGATTTTCTTGTGGTGTTAATAGCTAAAGTTATTTTATGGCACAGTAAAGAATATTTGTTATTCTTAAGCAAAAGAGAATTTAAAGTATTGATTTATATTGCCAAATCCTAAAAAAATGGTGTGCCTAATGACCTCAAGTGATACAAATGAAAAACCCTCTTAGAACTCTAAATCTTTTGAGTATTTCTTATGAAATCAAGAGCCCTGACTGTAATAAAACCCCTCAAAAAATTAAAGCGCAATCGGAACAGTTGACGAAAAAGACATCCCCACTTACAGAGTCGTAAGTAGATAAGATTGTTACGCCATTCAGCCTTAACAAGGTGACCCACTCCCAGACATTCCGAAGGCATAGTCAAGGTACTCGCTGCTTTATTGACCACTGATTGCCGTAACTTAGACCGTAACCTAGGCGACGGGAGCGAAGCCGATGCGGTTGTTGCCCAGATCGAACTCGGTGTAGTACTGGCCGATGAAGACATCGCCCAGGATCCAGAAGTCGGTGCCCATGTACTCGAAGGCGGACATGCAGTTGCCCTCCGACTGGATGATGTAGGCCGAGGGCTTGAGGACAAAGTCCGAGCCACCGATGTTGAAGGTGATATCGGGCAGGGAGCTGACGGAGGAGCAATCGAGATAGCCATCCTCGCCGACATTCAGAATCTCGGAGAGAGTCACGTAGGCATCATAGGGAGCCACGACCAGGGAGGTGCCGGTATCGGCAATAGCCTGGCAGTTATCGCACAACGAGTAACCATCGACGGAGGATCCGGCCATGGCGAACTGCCAGTAGCCCTGCTCCGAGATGGGCACGTAGGTCAGGTCGCCGGAGTACAGCGAAGCATCGGAGCCGCCGAAGATGAGCTCACCGCCCTGGGTGGAGGTGCCGTCGCGGGCCAGATAGAACGAGAAGACGGAGCTGTCGACCAGACCCTGGGAAACCATGTTGTAGAACACAGGAGCCACCCCATCCACGGCCAGCGCCTCGTAGGCCATGCCCAGGATGCCATCGAAGTTGGCATCGTTGAAGTTGGTTCCCGGCTCGTTGGTGGACTCGGCGAAGGTCTGGCTCTGGACACTCAGGCCATTCACGTCGACAGTATCGGTGGACATGTAGCCGGTGAGGCTGCCGGTTCCATACTGAATCGAGAAGGACTCGCCGTTGGCCACGTAGGTGGAGCTGTCACTCGAATCGTACTGGTTGTGGGTCAGGCAGGCATCACTCTGGCAGGTGTTCGAGGGCACCCACAGATTCGAGGAGCCCGAGTCGAAGAGCACTTTGAAGCTCTGGGCCGGAGTTCCGATGGAGATGGCTCCGTAGTAGGCCATGTTCATCGAATTGGACAGCTGCTCCTCGTCCACGCTGCGCAGGGAGGGCAGCTGGTACTTGGTGCGCAGATAGGACTTCTCGGCCAGAACATTTTGGCGCGTCTTTACGAAGTTCTGCTCCTTCAAGATCGGCACGCGGTGGAGCTCGGCACTGGCCAGAGCCACCAGGAGCACTACGGCACCAAGGGTCTTGAACATTATCTTGCTTTGTTGTCTACTCGATTTCGACTAACTGGTGATCGGAGGAGCGGGTCTAATTTATAGCACTTGCCATCAATCACAGCCCAAATTGCCGAACGATTAGATTTCTTGGTCACTCGACCACTCGATTCTTAAGCAGTATGAGTCCATAACGCTCTATCAATCCGATAATTATAATCTGGCATAATATCATTTCAGGTGGGTATGAGGCGATGTTTGGGCTATCTACTACGATAATGGTATTCTCAAGAAGTGAATCCTGAAATTCGCATACGCAGCTGTATTTTGTTTTGATTTGGAATTTGAGTGACTGCGATAGTGTAACGAATGCGATAATGCAAAGTGTCCCCTCATTATAATTTGTTAGTATCATCGGTTCTCTAAGCCAGATAAGCCAATAAATTATAGATAACGATGAGAGGTGTTGGGTTGGGAAATAACCAACAATTTTGGGAAATTCACCGAAAATGGTGGGAGAAACCTCTACAATTTGAGTGTTTCTGTCGAGAATAAGTGGTTTAATTAACCGAAAAATTTAATGGCCATTGCAAATTTAACAAGTACTCGACTAACAAATACCTGTTACTCAGCTAAATGAGTCTGAGAGAGATGGAGATATTTAAGAAGTCACTTAAAACTGGCGACTCCTAATAAATTTTTAATAAATTAACCGATTTTTAATTTATTTGATAGGTATTAATAAACACATTAATTAAATTATAAAGGCGATAAAAACAAAGAAGATTTACTCAAAATAAAATCTTTGTGGCTGTCTTTAAAAATTCCTAAATTACCAGAGTGAATTGCTTTTCAATTGGTTAATTTAGAGAAACGTGGGAGTTTAATCGCCTTTAGCCAAGAGGAAACACTTTCATTCAGGCTCCAATGGCCATTCGAAATTCCCTTCCAATTAAATGGTTACACTTGAGCTTTTCCCTCAGCGATTTGCTCGGTCTCATAAAAGAAAATATATATATATTTCGTTTTGGCAGATAAAAGCAAATGCAGGTCCGGCAGTCATCTCGGCTCCTCTTTTTATTAAGCTTAAGTCCTTATTGAAATCAGATTTAAAATCAAATAAAATGCCACTTCAATTGGCCAAGGAGGACAAAGGAGATTCATTTGTTCGATTGCGTTTTACTGCCAGCGCAGGGATTGTTTGCACATGTGGGGTATATGTAGTTTTGTGGGTCTTTGGGAGGTTCCTGGGTGGTCAGCCACAGGTTAATTGTGGTGCAGGGCGTCCGTTTATCGCCGAAGGGCTAGTAACACCCGGGCGAAGAGTCCACGGACGAGTGCGTTGCGCACTTTCAGCCCCAAATAAAGTAATCAACGGATTTCACGCACCGTCGGGCAATTTCGGTTACCATTCTGGCACCGGGCACACGGGGCGTATGATTACCGACGTGGGCCGCCTGTTTTTCGTTCTTTTTGCTGGATTGTTTTCCTGTGCGGTGACATTTCATGTGCAATTATTAGGCTACTCAAATGGGATGCTCCTGTTTTTCCCCCGATGACCGTTTATCAATCATTTTTGATTTATGGGCCAACGCGAGTGGATTGCAGTGGAGTTGATTGTAGTCCGCAAATACACATAAATAAAGTATACGCCCGGGGCGACCGGCCAACTAACCGAACAACTCAGCGAAGTGTGAGCCCACATGAATTTCGATTGGTTTTTTTATTTGCTCTGCGTGGACAATGCCCATTGGCTTAAAGGCTTAGAGTCCGAGATGCAAATAATATTTAACCAAAAATAATCAGTAAATATTCACAATTGGTAAATATTTATTGAAGAGCTGAGTGGGCCAGAGAACAAATAAGCTGGTATTATGGAAAGTATCCGGTTCGGTCAGTGAGCATTTGCCGCCGGGTCACCAGGATACATTGGCAGTCAATGGGGTGGGAGGGTTTCCATCATGCAGCACCACCCACGGCTTCTCCTCGTCGACTTCTTTCCGCCGATTGCATTTTCACAGCTTGCTTGATCTCCGATGCACCCACTCGTAGTTTATGAACCCCGGAGTCAGTCAAGTGCCAGGCGATTAATCGAGTAAAATATTGAAGTTTAAAATAAGCGCTTGGCAGCGAACTTTGGCCTATAACCATTTGAAAGGAAACCGGACTGGGATGTCAGATAAATTAAATGGAGGAAAATAAATACTTTATAATTTATATTATATTTATTCTTTCAAGTGAATAATTTCTATGATATTATGGAATTTTTATTTAAAATTTTTATTTTTATTTAAAAGTAGTTAATGTCTATATTAGGGCTTTAAAAATAATTTTTATAAATAAACTATTTCTAAATAGTTAAACAATTTTACAAGAATTTATTTACTGTAAAAAAAGAACTTAATTTTTCAACGAAGCTAAGGAAGTTTTAATAGATTGATTTCCCAGACACCACGAAATAAACTACTCAACAATGCCATCGCTTAACCTGCTAAATTCTCGAACTTCAAAGGGACGTTCAGCAATCAGAAGATGACTGCTTAATCCGGCATTAGAAATCCCGTCGAATATGAACCCATCTCCAGGCGGAGTGGCACTCTTTTGGGCGCAGCATTCAAATCCCATCAACCGGAATAGGCCAAACAGTTTGGGCAGCTTGGCCCTGGCAGTGGTTAACCCAAATCAAGTGTTGCCCAGTCAGCACGGGCATTTGTCTAACGAGATCCTTGACTCGCTGCCTCACCTGCCCAGGCAGCACTCTCACCTTGGTCAAGTGGCGGTCTCCTTGGTGGAAGAAGGTGGAGGAGGATGAAGGAGGGTGCAGCCGGGACGAGGGATGTGTAACACGAGAGTCAGACATTGAAATTGCATTGCGTTGATTGTGGCCAACAACACAAGACGCACTCACACCCTGTGAACGAACCTCTAGCTTTTGTGGGTCGCCTGGAGGCCCGCTGCGTTGGTAACTGAAAACGTACTTATGATTGGCGGGTGGGGGCGTAGTGGGTGGGGATCTGGGATCTGGACACACGACTTGGCAAATTGAATTTGGGTCATTCAATCCCAAGGCCAGGGCTAAGGATTTTGGCCCACTTCCTCGGCATCAACAATCAAAAACGATTCCAAGTGCTTTAATCCCTATACACTGAAACGATTTACCTAATCGGGGTATATGGACTGCAGGTAAATAAACATATTTTAATTTGGTAAAATTTTTAACAAAATATTTATATTTTTAAAGATGAGTTGGTTAAAAACCTTAAGTTATAAAATTCAATTATTTATTATATTTTTACATAATTTATGAGCTTTTTAAAATTTTCAAGGATTTAATAATTATTATAAAAATACCCAAACGTCATTAAAGCAACGACCCTCGGAATAACAATTACAAAATCTGTTTTAACTAACTTCCAAAATATAAAATAATGTTTACAAATAAATATAAATAAATAAACCGAAAGTGACTTTCTTTAGACAACCTTTGCCATTATTTAATTAGCTTTACATTAATTCCCTTCTCGTTGACGCTGGAAAATGAATAAATTTTACGCAATTTAGCAAAGCCAAGTAAGAGAAAGCAAAATAATTAGGGGAAATTATTGCTACGACAGCCACTTTTAGTTGCATTAAATTTTCATATACCGAATGAAAATTGCGTATACGCACGGAAGGGGGTGGCTTTAGATGGGGGAAGAGAAAACCTCTCTCCTGCCGCGTTGTAATTGGATGCTTATTGAATTAGTGACAAAGTCGGCGGATTGGGCGGAGGATTCTGCGGTGTCCGTGCTTCTGGGATCTGGAAACACAAGGAGTTGGGGTGGTGGTTTCTGCTGGGCAGGAGGGCTGCCCCGCTGTGTTCCTGGCTGCCATTTTAGATATTCATCAAATTATTCCGTTTGTCAAATTAAGCAAACAAGACCCACACAGCCGGAGACAGAAGATTGATTTGGATTTGTGTTGGCAGACATTTGATTTGCCCTGATTCGGATGAGCGTGTCCTTCGTCCTTGCGGCCTGGCTCGCTTTGTGTGCGGATGCGATGCCATCTTAACTGATTACTCGGCTAAGCCACTGGGCCTAAGTCGGCTGAATGTCCGCAAACAGGTGGGGCCGTGGCCTCACCTGGGCCACTATTTCTTGCCCCCGTCCAGGAGTCTGGCTAATGGAAACAGCTAATGAGCTTGCACTCAACTATCAAAAGTCTCCGACAGAAATGAGTTTTCCCAAACTTAAGCGCACATCTACTTGTTGTGGCTGGGAGATAGGGGTTCACACTTCGACCCTCGGCTATCTACTAAAATCTGGCTTTAATCGGGGAGATATCAACAAGTCAGAGACCCGACAACTTGAAGTGCTAAGTATCTGCAGGCGAACACTTTATGACATCAATCAAGGCAATAATCTTTAACCGATTAGATTGTTAAGCTGTTTATTGCCACACTTATTAACACTTTAAAACTCAACAATAAGTTCTTAAATTCGTTTTTTATTGGTACTTATAGCCTATTTCAGTCTGTAACTGTGCTTTTAATAATAATAATAAATAATAGTTAATTAAAATTATTTATTGAAAAATTATTAATAATTATTAGATACTTCATATAAAAAATGCTACACCCAAAAAAACTTGATTTGAAACGATGATCGATTTGATCTTATGTGGTATCAATTTTGACTTGATATGCGGGAACCCTGATTCGATATGCTCGAAATTTAGTTTTTAGTGCTTTGCGTATAAACACCAGAAATTAACCATGCGCATATCGATTTGATACCACCGTGTTCTTTTTTGTTTGTTGAGAAAATATTTAATTATATTATTTTTTATTTTTTCAGTACTTAATGCCTGGACTGATATGCTTTTTACGGCAGAAAACATTTGCCTAAAAGGTCACGTCAGAAACCACTAGTAATTATAATTGTATAAGCTATAATGGTTATGTACCGTTGAAAAAAACCAAAGAAAACTTTCGCAAGTTACCCATGGGAGGCGAACTTTGGGCCAAAGTTTTCTCGGTCCTGTTTAAGGGACATGAAGCAAAGCAGAGACAACCTCGATGCGCCTGTTGTG